TTAATTGAAAGAAGCTCAGAGAATGAGGATATAGAGAAAGAAAATGTTTTTATACAGCTATACAGTGTGTCTGTGTTTTAAGCTAAGTGTTATTACAACAGAGTTGGAAAGTTAAATAATTTAAAAGTGTATAAGGTCAAAAAGTTACTGTAATCTAAGCTTAATTCATTATTGAAATAAGAAAATATTTTTATAAATTTGGCATAGCCTACGTGTACAGTGTTTATGAGTCTGTAGCAGTGTGTAGTAACGTCCTAAGCCTTCACATTCACTCACCACTCACTGACACCCAGAGCAACTTCCAGTCTCGCAAGCTCCACTCATGGTAAGTGCCTATACACATGTACCATTTTTAATCTTTATACTGTATTTTTTTTTTTTTTTAAAGACAGAGTTTCAGCATGTTGGTCAGGCTGCTCTTGAACTCCCAACCTCAGGTGATCAGCCCGCCTTGGCCTCCAAAGTGCTTGGATTACAGGCGTGAGCCACCACGCCCGGCCTATACTGTATTTTTATGGTACCTTTTCTCTGTTTAGGAGCACAAATACTTACCATTATGATGCGATTGCCTACAGTACCAGTACAGTGCCCTGCTGTACAGGCTTCTAGCCCAGGAGCAATAGGCCGTACCTTCTAGCCTAGGCTGTAGGAAGCGCTTGCATCTAGGTCTGTGCAAGTACATTCTATGATGTTTGCAAAATGACAAAATCACCTAAGGCTGCATTTCTCAGGATGTATCCCTATTGCTAAACAATGCATGACTGTAATTAGAAGTTATTTTCTAGTCACCCATAGTTAACTTTTTGAGGTGAGTAGTAATCCTCTCATATAAAACAGCTATGGGATGCACAGGTGAAAACAGACTTTGAGGAGGGAAAATGGACAGAACGTTGGTAGCAGGATTTTAAATTTTAAATAAAGTAGGTATTTGCTTAGGATAGCCTTTCTGCAAGACAAACTGTCAATGCGTATTAAGAGCATCACAGCTCTTTGACTTAGATCCTAAAGATGCACACAAAGGCAGGCCGGGTGCGGTGGCTCACGCTTGTAATCCCAGCACTTTGGGAGGCCGAGGCGGGTGGATCATGAGGTCAAGAGATCAAGACCATCCTGGTCAACATGGTGAAACCCCGTCTCAACTAAAACTACAAAACATTAGCTGGGCATGGTTGCGCGTGCC